TTACCCTTGTAATTTACTTCACCCAGGTTACACACTCACCTTCAGGGTGAGCATGCTTTCTAACTTTATGCTTCTTTCTTCCATGTAGATGCAACCATACTCTACATGATATTCGTGACCTTGTTCTAAAGAAAGCACTTCAGAGTAAACATAAATTGTCAGTGAATTTAACGCGGCTATCAGGGTTACGACTTGCCTCTGTTCCTCGTTGAGTTTATCATATTTGTTCTCAATTTAGACTGTCTCAGATTGTTCGCTAATAACAGGCCGTTCTCCCGCCGACATTGTTGCCTTGATGCAATTTTACGATGTGTTTATTGTAGTATTCGAGCAGTGTTAGGTTTACTGCAGGGCGTATTCCCCTAGGTTTTTATACCAGTTAAGTCGACCGGAGAGTAGGGAACCTGAAAGTACCAACTGTTAGCATAGTGTGAAGAAGTGGAATGTGGTAAGAAGTCTGGAGGCGAAATTGTCCTGTTGCTTCTACTGAATTGTGATGACAGTAGAGTGTACAACTTGATCAACCAAGATTTGAAGCGGAACTGTAATCTCAGTAAGGAAAAAGGGAGACTGAGAGAAGTCACCTTTGATACGCAGTTCCTATGAGCTTGCTATCATACGGATAGCGTTGAATTGGAGATAAGGAAGTGTAATATGCAAATGTAACCAAGTTGTCAGTCATCCGCACTCTGTTCAACCGTGTTTGTGTTGGAACTGAAAAGGATTATGACCCACTTCGGTGTGTATTTGTAAACTCTGTGTACGCTGTTAATTTTCGCAGTTCAAAAGATATGAGTTTTGCTGAAAGGTGTTGAACCTACTAGGAAACGCCAAATGTCTATAACTGCAGTGGCGAGTGACTTTAATGCCAAAGAGAGGTACTGTGAATATGCATTTGGATTCTTATTCAACAAGCTGGGGATAGCAACTGTAACTCAGATAATCAAACACCCGTCGATTCACGCCAAGCTTGAGTGTAAGTGAATTGAAGGCGCACATACCAATCAAATATCGAGGTGGAGAACTCACATCACCTAACTCTGTACTGAGGGAGATCAGTTCACATTTTGGGATGTGTCAGGACTTTGATGGTGCAATTGTTCAACGTTTATTTGCGTCGATATGCATACAGTGGGCAGTCAAAGTTATTGTTTGGTTTTGAAGATGAGAACACCAAGTTTATTAGCTGAGGAAAAATGGAACTGTTACAATGATTCAACTGTTGAAGTTTATCGGTATCATTTGTAGTCCACTATCTGAGTATTATAACCTCGCCAAGTTAACTAGTTCACTAGTTACTAGCCGGTCCTAAGCCCGGATAAATGGGAAAGCTTGGGCATACGGCTACCAACCCTACCCTGGAAAACCAATCCAACCGCACAAACAAAGTATAAAAAATAAAAATGAACTTATTCCTCGCTGCAATCGGAGAGGCGGAATGACACCAGTTGGTGTGGTGAAAGCCTTCGGGAAGCCAATTGGGCCATGTGTCTTCTCTCTCTTGATGAATGCGAAAGTAAACGTGGGGACATGGAATATCCGCACAATGTTTGAACCTACGAAGGCTGTCCAGATTGCAAAGGAGATGAGAAGGTATCGCATTGAAGTGTTAGGGATTTGCGAAACCAGATGGAATGGAAGTGGACTCTCCAAACTCTTAACTGGCGAGTCGACAATCCACTCCGACATTGTCACCCAGACGACAACCACGACCACACTGACTTTTGGAGTAGCTATCATGATATCCCCAACAGCATCTAAGGCTCTCTTTTATGCAGTGGAAACCAATCTTCTCCTACAGGATCATAACAGCAAGGTTCAACTCAAAAGGAAGGAAAGTCACAATCATACAATGCTACGCCACACACCTATAAATAATGCGGATCAAAAGGAGAAGGAGGAATTCTATAGACAACTGCAACCAACACTGGACACCACTCCAACCTAGTTGGCGACATTAAAATCCATTCTAAAGGGTGACATGAATGCCAAACTTGGAGTGGACAACACAGGAAGAGAACTAACCATGGGTCGAGAAGCGCTCGGTGAAGTGATGAACGAGAATGGAAAATTGTTTGCAGAATTCTGTGCATTCAACGATTTGGTGGTTGGAGGCACTGTGTTCAATCACAAGGATATCCACAAAGCGACATGGATTTCACCAGATGGACACATTAGAAATCAGATCGACTTTATCTCAATCTCAAGAAAGTGGAGACGCAGCCTACTTGACACAAGATCAAGAAGAGGAGCAGATGTAGGCTCAGACCACACACTACCTAATGCAAGGAACCTTCAAAATCAAGTTAAAAGCCTTCAAGGAAGTTGGTGATAGACCATAGTTCAAAACCCGGAAACTGAATGACGACAGTACAAAGGACATCTGCACGTCAGCCATCAAGACAAAATGGGAGATATTGAGCAACATCCCTGAAGAAACCTGTGAGGATGAGCACTGGAAGTCTTTGAAAGAGATGTGAAAAGAAACCTGCATAACCATGTTAGGAAGGAAGAAGAAGCAAGACGAGATAAGAAATGGATGTGAACGGACACATGGAAGCTGATGCAGTAGGGAGAAGAAGATGGTGAAGCAGAAGACGAACCAGTGCAGAGATGAACAACGAAAAGAAGAACTGAGTATAACGTATAAAATACTGAGCAAAAAAGCAAAGAAGAGTGCGCTGAAAGACAAAAGACACTTCTACGACACATTAGCAAGTGAAGCAGAACAGTCTGTAGGCCGGTAAGAGAGACCTGACAACACTATGTCGAATAACCAGGTTACTACCTGGTAGGGAAGAGATGAACTCAGATGAAACCAATAAAAGATGATGAAGGAAATATAACTACCAAAGAGGAGAAAGGAAGGAAACGATGGGCTAACCACTTCACAAAGCTCTTGAATCGACCACCACCACCACCACCTGCAACTCGTTCAGAAATGCCACCGGCAACGGGAAAACTACCAGTGAACACAGGCCCTCCGACAAAAGCAGAAGTCCTGAATGCCACAAAGCTGCTGAAATCCGAGAAAGCAGCAGGACCAGATGGAATTCCGCCAGAAGCACTGGAAACAGACGAAGAGACAACAGTGAACATGCTCACACCACTGTTGCAGAAGGTTTGGGAGGAAGAAGTGCTACCTTGTCAAACTTCCAAAGAAGGGAGACCGAAGTCGTTGCAAGAACTGGCGAGGAATCATGCCGCCGTCCACCCAAAGCAGGCAAAATATTAAGCCTCATTATCCTGGAGAGACTAAAGCATGCGCTGGATTCAAAACTACGACGGGAACAGGCTGGTTGGATTCAGGAAGTACAAATCATGTGTGGATCAGATTTCATCACTACACAACGATGCGCATCACCATAGAACAGAGTATAGAATGACAGTCGACTGGATCTTTACCTCATCTTCATCGATTTTGAAAAGGCCTTTGACAGCGTCGACCGAGAAGTGATTTGGTAAGCAGCTGCTTCAACACTACGGTTTTGGTGCCACAAACCTTTTCCAACCTCATTCAACAGCTACATGACGACACCACATGCCGAGTGATTCACAATGGAAAGCCCAGTGACGCCTTTGAAGTGAAGTGAAGACAGGGGATAGGAGTAAGACAAGGCTGCCTACTATGACCGGTGATCTTTCCGGTTGTGGTGGACTGGGTCATGCAGCAAACCGTGAGAAGGGAGAAGATGGGCACAGGCTGGCTGGAATGATGAAAAGACCTTAGAAGATTTGGATTTCGCCAGCCATGATGATTCTTTTCTGTTGTCTCGTGGCACAAACTTGAAGATCTACAGGCGAAAACCAAGAAGTTGATAGGAGCGGTAGGGCAGCGAAGACGGGACACTATTGAAGTGAAGGTAGAGAAGACAGAGGTGATGAAGATACCCAACCAGCAACAGCATCAACAACAAGCACCAGCCACCATCAGTGGGAGGAATCTGAAGGAGGTAGTCTCTTTCACCTGCCCAAGCAAGACAGCATCGTGTCAACTACAGGCACAGATGAGGATGTCAAATCCAGGATGGGAAAGACAGCAAGACAGGCCTTGACCAATCTGAGATCAGTGTGGAGATCTACTGCACTGCACTCGGCATAAAGCGTGTGTGAACAAGATCCAGATTTTCAACACTAATGTGAGTCAAGTGAGTCAGTGCTTCTATGTGATGGTTGAGAGAGTTGGTGGCGCGTTACGAAAAGCATTTGCAACAAACTACAGACACCATGAACAGCTGCCGTCTACGCTCGATGCTGAAGATCAGATGACCAGGATAATAAGAATAAGCAAGGAGGAACTCTGGCTGGCTGGGTGGCAACGAACCAACCAAGAACTTATCGCCCAACAAATATGCAGAAGAAACTGGAGATGGATTGGATAGATCATATACTGAGAAGGGCGATTGGGGACATCACGCACTAGGCGTCAAGTGGAATCCAAAGGGAAACGACGAGTTGGGCGTCGGAGGTGATGGTGACATGGAGGATATTATGTGCGGAATTTTGGAAAAGCTACTAACTGTCTGTTTCAAAGAGTATAAAAGTTGCCATTTGAATTATTATAACTCTTCAAAAAAATCAAGCTTTGTCTTCACAATCATCGCTCATTATCATGGTTACTATCATGAAGCGGCAACCAATCATCATATTGCACTGATTTAATCTCCTTAGCATGTCAGACACTGACCTACCAGCTAGTTCATCAGAAGTTTGAAATCCTTTAAATAACTGAGATCATGACGTGATCGCTGGACAATGTACAGTAAGTATTGGAAAACTTGTATATAAGCTTGTACGTAACATAGAACACTGTAGTACGTATCAAATGCTGTGCCGTGTATAGTTTGCTGACTTATTTTAGTAGTCTTTTTTGATCAACCCAGTTGATCTTCACTACTACTTTACGCTTACTAATTGTTTTATGAGTGCAATTATTTAGAAAACTGTTTCCACTTTTCGTCACTGTTAACACGAATATAATTTTCTTTTCGTGTTACTAGAAAACCACTCCAGATATCTGCAGTACGTTTTTACAAGTCATCAAAAGAATTGATTGAAAGGTATTGTTTTTAAAAATCAAATTACTTTTAAAGTGGTGAGTCAGCTATAACACTTTCGCCTGATGGAGCAGTTGTTGTTTGTTGGCATCCGGTTAAAACAATTCCATACGAATGCACTAAAGTAGGTTTCTTTTTTGTTAATCTGTTTTAGCCAATTTCATACAATTTAAAATCATTACATATTCCAACCTCTCCTTTAAATATCAGTGTAACAGATTCACTATCAAATGAATCCGCGAAGCCTACTGTAGTAGAACTGTCAAAAGCTTTTGGTGTTCCGTGGTTTCATTTCAGGCCTAGGTATGCCATTTTATTGTAGTAAAGCGCATTCTTTTTCTACCATTTAGAAAATGTCAAAAATCTTATTCATCCTATTTTTGGGCTCCAATTAAAGAAAGAAACAGTTTGTAAATTCTCAGTATGGAGTGTCTTTTAATCATAAAAAGCAATTCATTCATAAAGATTGCTTTTTCTTTTTCTTACATCTTTTGGTTAGATGCTGTGACAATGTTATTACAAAGAATATCAGTAGTCTTTTAAAATGTATCAATATTGTATTAAGATTATACATTTAGATGATATTCTTATAAAGATTGTACAGAGATGCAAAGACTGACATTCGCAAATGGAGAAGATAATTGTTAGGTGATAATTCTTTTTACGATGTGCTATATAATCAGCAATAATAGTAGTGACAGCAGCAGGGCAGCATTTCGTAAAAAAAGATAAGCACATTAACTGTTAAACATAAAAATAATAGATTTCATTTTATTATCACCTAACAATCTATAAACAAATAGAAATCACCTTACGAAACACGTTAGTGATTTAAGCTTTTGGTGTGAATATACTAAAATCACAGTTTTTCAAGATGAAGTTTACGGTCAAAGTGCATTTAAGAGAGTTTAAAGTTTTTTGGACAAAGTTAAAGGTGAAATGGAGATGATTTTTTGAGTGATTAGCACAAAGAATTACAGAAATTTTGAACTCATCATACGTCAATTCTACTGTATTCATACGTTCATTTCGGCGAACCTGTTGTGTATAGATTATATTAGGTGAAAACAAGTATAGAGATAATATAATATATTAGAATCTGGAAAACCGAATCAGTTTGTTTGTTCAGTACAGAATCATACTCATTCTTTAATTTTAAAAAAACACACCCAGTTTAATTAAAAAAGCACAAGCTTTTTTAAAAATCAGTAGAATTCAAAACTTGGCAAAATAACTTGCTTTTACAACCGCATTATTTCTACCTGAAATAAGGTTTATATTTGTAGAGATAGGGTTAAAGTAAGCAAATGTAATTGGCAAACAGTGATTTAATTTTGAATGACTGTTTTCTTTTCGTAAGGTACTTGTCCATTTATTGGCATAGTTTGTGTTTAGATGAAGGGGGAGGTTACTATTAGGTTTTAAGGAAGTTCTCTCTTGTTTTGCTTCCTTGGTTTTGATGAGCATATATCAGAGTTCTTTCTTAAACGTTTAAGACAGCTTAAAAATGAAAGCTTCTTATTTCTTCTCATCGTTTTAATTACTTTGCTTACAATCGTGACATTTACAGTTTACCACTTGGACATTTCTATGTAGGATCCAAGTGGGTTTTTTGTTAAGACAACCACAGGAAAGTCACACTAAAACTTCGATCTAAAAAACCCATAGTGCTTCTAAATATCACGAAAAATTCTTAAGTCGACGATAAGCGTGAAAATTCCTTTATTATGTCAGATTCATCGCACAACTTATATTTATTCATACTAGGAGGTGTGAGCTTCCAATTTTTGTACAGTGAGGAATTTGGATAAGTGTAAAACACAACTGCTTTTACGATTATATCTAAATGATATACACTTTTCAGAATATTCGTAGTCAAAATGTAAGCTACACGCTAAGACTGTGTTAAATTACGTAGCATAAACAAAGAAATCTTACCTGATCTAAGTTTATTTAGATTAGATGGTTGTTGTTCAGAGCCATGCCGATGATGTCGTCTGTCAGTTGGTCTCGGTGGTTTTAGCGGTTGTGAAGCAGGCTGTTGGGAACGCGTCTTTGGATCATATTCAGTCTTGTTATCAGTCAAGTTCATGCGGTCCTTTGAATAGCAACTTGAACAATAAAGCAAGTTACGTCGAACACGGACTTCAACATCTGAGAGGCCATCGCCTAGTAAAATGCCACATCTTGCACACACAAAACAAGGTAAGTGATAGTAAAGATTTAATGACTCGATAACCATTGAATCCTCAAAGCCTATTCAAAAAATGAAATGGTATAGTTTGAATGAGAGGGTTTCGGAAAGCAAGTATGTATACGATTAGCGAATAACAAAGAATATGATTAGAAGGGGGTCTGGTGTTACAATTTGTAAGGAAAACAAAAAATACGATTCAGCAACAACATGCACGTTTGTACAGTAGACAGCCAGCCACACATTGTGAAGGTTAATGATACTACCTAACTGTCCGAACCTTGGTGAGCAGGTCAGGGTCCGAACATGTGGTCCATTGGTTGAAAGTGAACTGCCTAAACCGCTAGGTCATAGTTCCACTGTCTACTCGTGAATTATCTAATAGACTTGGAGGCATCATCAACTTGACACCTTTAACGTTTTTTCAAATAATGAAGAATACATAAAGTGGATGCTAGACAGTACCAGCAGTAATATGAAGCTACAGTGAATTGTGCTGACCAACGGTTGCAGTATGTTTCAGAATAAAATTCAATTTATATTAACGACTCAAGTTTCATCTGATGAATTACCCTGTCCTGTATGGGTTTTTCACCTCTCCAAAAGCTCAGTGGTAATAGTGGCATAAACGGATACACAGGGGTAAGTTTCACAGATGAGTATTCAATAGCAAGACTACTAGGTTGAGAGCCTTTCACTAATTGACACAACATGTGTCACACCGACCAGTTGGAAATATTTGTAGCTCAGAGGAATGCAAATAAGTTCAGGAAACTTCCTCAGTGTACGTGCTGTAGCTTTTAAACTTGCTTATTCAGTGAATATTAGAAATCAACTTATATTATGAGTCAAAAAACGGTTAAATAGTACTGGAATCTGAAGCTTAACAACTGTGAATCTACTATTTATGTTATCTAACATCCCAGAGAAACAACAGGAAATTATTGAAGCCATAGACTTATGAACTTATCATTCAACTTTGTGAGCAAAATGGTAAGTATAACAGCTGACAAGTTATCAAAAGATGGAAATGAAATTCTACGGTAAAATCGTTTTATGTTATAGTCTTGTCTGGTTGTGAATACGGGCAATTCGATGCGAGATATAAATAAAAACGGCTATAAAAAATACTGTAAATTTTTTCTTATATTTGTTGTCATAGTTAACAAAAGTGTGGTATTCAGTAGTATATGGTGAGGCAGCACGTTATTTTTGCTCGAATAGTTCGTAAAATTTACAAATTTTTGCAATTAAATTTGTGTAGCTTGGTCATAATTCTAGTTTTTACATTACATTCATATGATAGTTGTTTTTAAATCCAAAGGACTTCAGTTAATGCATGTCTAAGGTGTTAATTGAGATGAAGAGGCATGAAACTAGAATCAAGTAACAAAACATGATATTACACTGGCTAGGGGAGGGAAGAGTAGTTATGCTTCGTGAATGTTCTGTGAAAGTAGGTTGTTTAAGGTTAAAATATTTGTCAACTACTGTACAGTTGTTCAGCTCAATAAATCAACTAGTCCAAATTAGCTTTAGTTTCACTTTTCGAAGTAGTTCTGTTCATACTTTGATTTAAATACTACATAAGAAATAAGGTTAGCCACATGGTTACATGAGCATACAAACTGGAAGCCTTCACAAATACATTTTGAATGGCTAAATTAACGAATAGATGAATGTATTAAGTACATCAGAATTACCTAATTTTGCATTACACGCTGCGCATAACTGGTCAAGGTCGACTATTCTCACGTGTGGAGTTCGAGGAGGGACAGGTGGAACTTCAGCCTCTAAATCTGCATATTTTTGAGGCGGCGTTGGCAATGGAGTCTTGACTTTATTGGAAGAGCTGTAGTCGTAAAAGAAATAGCAAGTAATCCATATTGAAAGCTGTGTAATAGTACAACTATACAAAATAAAAAAATTGAAATGCTTCACTTATGTTTAGCTTTCCCTTTGACTAGTAGTAAAAATGACCTAAAGGTTACTTTTCAATATTTGAAATTATACAGTTTTTTGAGGAATAAAATTTAGTTTTATTGACGGTGTAAAACTTAGTGGCTATAGTTTTATCTATCGGCGGCCATTACTTGGCGTTAGTGAGATGATAGAGGATATTCGTAGCTCAGGAGGATAATTTTGATGGTATTGTGTTCTCTGAGCTGGATTGTTTAATCGTGGAGCTTTCGTTGTTATTTTAGACAACATCATCAGCACAAACTTCTGAAGTTTGTGAATCTGAATCGAGATGTATAACAGTCTTCGGGTTATTATGTGTTTAGAAAGGAACAAATCTGTTTTAAAAACAAGTTGTTTACATTTTTAGAAATATCGTTGGCAACAGTGATCTAAACAACTATGCCTCTTTATGACTATAAACTTGGGTTTATCTACCAAACGAATATATAATTCTTGTTTTGCAGTCAAATGGTTTAACTGTCGTGCTACATTAATGCGTAACCGCTCAAGTTGCCACACATATCGACATATTAAGCGACAATTCACCAAGAAAGTGAGAAGACAACACCGAAGATTGGGACAATTACCGAATTCGGTATGACGATTGAGATGTGGTTACATTTCCACTATTGAGATCGGTTCCAAGCCATATCGTTTAGAGTCTCCAACCACCGATTTCAGTTGTCATGTGGACACAAATCAAGAAGTCACCATTATCCTTTATGGCTCAGACTAACAGTCAAGGACTTCATGGACTGATGCCACGGTTTAGTCCAGCCACTTCTAGCATTGTCAACCTGGGCCTACTTCAGCTAACATGCGACTGCGCAGAAGGTAAGTAGACATGCGTAACAAGTTAGTTGATGAAAGTTGTCGAATAACTTACTTCTACCTTAAAACTCTACACCTGACTTCTGAGTTACTAACGTAGTGACATCATGACACACGGTCTATGCTCCGAAGGCAACGGTGGTCAAACACCAGAAACCCTCTCATGTACTCCACCTTTAATAACCATATCTCGCAGCTATCAAGTATAGTAGAGCAAACTGCACCACAGTACACTCGACCCTTAATAATGAACAACCAGATATCGAGGCGGAAGAACAGATGGCGTAAGGTGGCGAAAACCAGTCGCTTTGTATTCCTGCAGAGATTTCGACGGCCACTGATCTGACTTTGCAGGTAAGTGGTGTTCAAGCACTTCACTCTCTATTGTTACTCAGGGCAATGCTGAACACCAGTCCTGGAGCAAAAATTGACATTTGGATGATGAGAAACGCATCCCAAACATTCTCTAGTTGTAACTCAAGGTGTCGAGAAAATTCTTGTTAGTGTCTCTACCTAACCGAACTACGTCATCTGTGTATTCTAGATATATCAAAGATTCTCCCGTGATTAGATCAATCCCTGTGATATCAGATGACAAAAAGAAGACCTCCAAAAAAACGTCTACGACAAAATTGAACAGGAAGCCACTCGATGTACAGAGCTCACCGGAAAAATCACCATATGCTGTCACATGTCCATGACTGACTGACAAAATCACCGTAGAGCCTCAAATACATGTGCATCGGCTCAAATTGCCACACTTCACAGTAGTAAAAAAAGAATAGATAGAAAAAGAGTGATATCAAAGCAGACATAGTTGTGTGGCCGGATAAACAATTTGAAGATAACAGATTCTAGCTTCAGAAGATGCCAAGGAGTGAATGCATCTACGTCATTGTGAACCGTTTCGAGCCATGCCACCAAGTCCTCAACCACTGATTGTTTCCGTCTCAAAGACCCCAACCAAGCGGTCCAAATGAGTGTTCGAGTAAAAAACCATTGAAAGAGTGATGCACTTGTTCGGTACCCCTTTCAGTAAGTGACACTGGCATAAGACCCTTCGATCGACGGGGTGGAACACTGCCTTCAGGTCGAGAAATACAGCTAGTGTCCTGGGTTGGAGTGTGAGTATCTTGTCGATACACCCACGGCAAGGTCTAAAGTCTACGTGGTTTTCTCAGGCATGCTTTTCCCGTGTCCAACTCACGTTTAATGATTATAGGACCTAGAATCTTAGACACTATGTTCGTTAGCCTGATCCCCCTATGGTTATCACTGGAGTACTTCTCGCCCTTGTTACATTACCGCAGCACCTCGCACAGAAATCCTTCGATCCAAGCTTCCACATTTCACAGTAGACTTCGGAGAAAAAGTTGCTAGTAAGAGAGTGATAAAGAAAGAAGTAATTCCGATTATTCCATAATGGCTCAGCTGATAAACTTGTTCTCATCCTCAAAACCAAACAATAACTTTGACTGCCCATTATATGCATATCGACGCAAATAAACGTTGAACAATTGCACCATCAAACCTCGCCTGGTTAACTAGTTTACTAGTTACTAGCCGGTCCTAAGCCCGGGTAAAGAGGGAAGGTTGGGCATAGGGCTAGCAACCCTACCCCGTAAAACAAATCTAACCGCTAAAGAAACTTCAAAGCACAAACAAAATATAAAAAATGAAAACAAACTTATTCCCCGCTGGAATCGGAGAGGCGAAATGACGCCAGTTGGTGAAAGCCTTCGGGAAGCCAATTGGCCGATGTGTCTTCTCTCGATGAAAGCGAAAGTAAACGTGGGGACATGGAATGTCCGCACGATGTTTGAACCCAGTAAGGCAGCCCAGATTGCAAGGGAGATGAGAAGGTATAACATCGAAGTGCTTGGGATTTGCGAAAGCAGATGGAATGGGAGTGGACTCTCCAAACTGTCAACTGGAGAATCAATAATCTACTCCGGTCACCCAGACGCCAACCACGAGCACACTGAGGGAGTGGCTATCATGATGTCCTCAAGAGCATCGAAGGCTCTCATGCAGTGGGAACCAATCTCCTCCAGGATCATGACAGCAAGATTCAACTCAAAAGGAAGAAAGGTCACAATCATACAATGTTATGCACCTACAAATAATGCAGAGCAAGAGAAAAAGGAGGATTTCTACAGACAACTTCAATCAACACTGGACAAGACGTCAGTTGGCGATATCAAAATTCTGATGGGCGACATGAATGCCAAACTGGGAGGGGACAACACGGGAAGAGAACTAACCATGGGTCGAGAGGCACTAGGTGAAATGAATGAGAATGGAGAATTGTTTGCAGAATTCTGCGCATTCAACGATTTGGTGATTGGAGGCAGTGTGTTCAGGCACAAAGATATCCACAAAGCGACATGGATTTCACCAGATGGACACACTAAAAATCAAATCGACTTTATCTCAATCTCAAGAAAATGGAGACGCAGTCTACTTAACACAAGGTCAAGAAGAGGAGCAGATGTAGGTTCAGACCACTATCTAGTGCAAGGAACCTTCCAAATCAAGTTAAAAGCCTTCAAGGAAGCTGGTGATAGACCTCAACCCAAGTACAACACTCGGAAACTGAAGGATGAAACTACAAAGGAGATCTTCAAGGCAGCCATCAAGACAAAATGGGAGACATCGAGCAACATCCCTGAAGAAACCTGTGTGGAAGAACACTGGAAGTCTTTGAAAGCTATGTGGAAAGAAACCTGCACAACAGTATTAGGAAGGAAGAAGGAAGACAAGGAATGGATCTCGACGGATACCTGGAAGCTGATAGAGGAGAGGAGGATGGTGAAGCAGAAGATAAACCAGTGCAAGGATGCTCAACGACAAGAGGAACTGAGCACAATGTATAAAACACTGGACAAAGAAGTGAAGAAGAGTGCACGCAAAGACAAAAGACACTTCTACGAAACACTGGCAAGTGAAGCAGAACAGGCTGCAGGTAAGAGAGACCTGACGACATTGTATCAAATAACCAGGTTGCTATCAGGGAAGAGACCAACACAGATGAAACCAATAAAAGATGAAGAAGGAAATTTAATTACAAAAGAAGAGAAACAGAGGAAACGATGGGCCGACCACTTCAAGAAGCTCTTGAATCGACCACCACCTGCACTTCGTCCAGAAATACCACCTGCAGCCGCTGAACTACAAGTGAACATTAATCCCCCAACGAAAATGGAAGTCCTGAACGCCATAAAGCTACTGAAATGCGGGAAAGCAGCAGGACCAGATGGAATACCGCCAGAAGCACTGAGAACAGATGCAGAGACAACAGCGGACATGCTCACACCACTATTGCAGAAGGTGTGGAAGGAAGAGAAGGTACCTGACGATTGGAAGAAGGGTTACCTTGTCAAACTGCCGAAGAAGGGAGACCTCAGTGCTTGCAAGAACTGGCGCGGAATCACTCTCCTGTCCACCCCAAGTAAAATATTAAGCCGCATCATCCTGGAGAGGCTAAGGGATGCACTGGATTCAAAACTACGACCGGAACAGGCAGGCTTCAGGAAGTACAAATCATGTGCAGACCAAATTGCAACGCTTCGTATCATCATAGAACAGAGCATAGAATGGCAATCACCTCTCCACCTCAACTTCATCGACTTTGAGAAGGCCTTTGACAGCGTCGACCGAGAAGTAATTTGGAAACTGCTTCAATACTACGGAGTACCGCAAACCTTTATCCGCCTCATTCAACAACTATATGAAGATGCTACATGCCAAGTAATCCACAATGGGAAGCTCAGTGATGCCTTTGAAGTGAAGACAGGAGTGAAACAAGGTTGCCTACTATCCCCCATGATATTCTTGATTGTGGTGGACTGGATCATGCAGCAAACAGTAGGCAGCGAGAAGAGGGGGATACACTGGACGACGGAAAAGAACCTAGAAGACTTGGATTTCGCCGATGACTTATGCCTAATGTCACATAAACTTGAAGATCTGCAGGCAAAAACTAACAAGTTGATAGAAGAGGCAGCGAAGACGGGACTTCAGGTGAATATAGAGAAGACAGAAGTGATGAAGATACCG